CTGATCCCTAAACCAAAACCCTAAATAATAGTAGTTTCCATTTTCTTTTCCAGTATCCCTATATAACCACTATATAAAAACCTGAATCCCTAAACCGTGTGAGCAGCTTAGGCTGCCAAGTTCTTCCTCTCTTGCGTCAAGCTTGCAGGACTCGAGTCGCCCTGGGGTCCGGGTTTGCGATTGGGCCACAGATTGTTGCGGTTTAGGGTTTAGGGTTTAGGGTCGAAAACATGTGGTTGTTAATTGACTGCTGTTGTTTTAGGCAGCTTGTTTTACACCAGGTTGTTTTCCGTTCAATGGTCTGAATGTTTTGAAAACAAGCTGTCTTCGAACACTCATGACAGGTTCGAGCTTCAGGGTTTTTTATGGCCCTGTGGGCTTCGTAACCATGACAGCACGCCACACTGCAGCTTTGGCAAACCTAAGCCTTGAACCCTAGACCCTAAACCCGAAACCTAAACCCTAAATAGTAGTTTCCGTTTTCTTTTCCATTATCCCGCTATAAGCCCTATATAACCCCCATAGTCTAACCCCCTCAAACCCCAAACCCTAAGCCGTTGACCTACTGATTCCCAAGCTTCTTCAGTTAGAAGATGCTCGGATCACATTTGTCATGGCGCTGTCTAGCAAACAGCACGATTGAGGCATGCGCTGTAATCTCACGAAGTTCCCAACTCAGGGCGTAGGGTCTTTTGGGGTCCAGGTCTAGGAGAACTTGTTTTTGCTCATAGGGGCGGAGCTTCACATCGTATGCCCTTAACGCAGCCGCGGTTCTTGTGCCACCTCGCGAGCGAGGGCTTGACTTGTGTTTTCGAGCTGAATTGTCCCTTCAAAGGATTTATGGGGGTAGGTGTTAACACTTTTTTTGAATTGTTGTTACCCTTTATTTCTACATAATCCTTATACAGGCATCAAAAAATGAGTTGTATAGGGCCCCCATACCTACCTTAGTACACGGGGTTCAGTTGATTCATCCTAGGGCCTGACGTTGGAAGTCACACCTGTAAGTTGGGGGTTTTAGGGTTTCGGGTTTAGGTTCAGGGTTTAGGGTTCAAGGCCTGGAAGAAGTTCATGGTTGTAGGGGCCTAACTAGTGAAGGTGCATCCCAAACCTTATCCCTAAACCCTAAACCCTACCCGTAGCCAGGAATTCTCCTGCCGTTGCCGCCCCCTATTAGCTGGCTGGTCAGCGCCGAGCTCAAGCGCAATGAGCTTTCCTCTAGATGGTGGTTTTCCCAAAGCACGGAGACCCCAATCTAGACCCCACCCTATACTATGATCCCTGTTATTGGGAACCCCAAATGGTACCCTCAGTTTTGGGAAACCTCAATGTACCGCACTTTTCAACACGCATTTGAGTTGTTGTGAAGCCAGGTTTCCCTTTGGGATGATTAACAGTTTCCCCCCATGGTGGTATCATGGATCCCAGAGTTAAGGGTCTAGGGTTTAGGGGAACCTATTCACAAATAGTTCTGGGGGC